TGATGGATGGTGGCTTATTCATACTGAGGATCACAAAGCACACAAAGCCATATTCCGAGATTAAATCCCTGACCAATTTTTCATTTTTGCTTCGCAGGTAACAGACATGATGCAGAAAGCACTATTTGACTTCCTCAAGCACAGATTTGATGGCAGGTAAAGACAAATTAAATGCACACTTCTTAGGAAGAACTATAGAACTATTTTAATTCTAACATAGTCTTTAGTCACTCCCAATAAATGGTAAGTAAAATATAAAGTTACTTGCAAGAAGAAAAAAATATGGAGAGTAATTCTTATTGGTCCTTTTTCTTCTCTGTGCAGTCTTCAAAATCGAGTCAGTGCCCTGGTTAAAAAAATTATGTCTTCTTTATTACAGGATAACTATCACACGAGTCACAGCAGATATATCGCTGGCCAAAAGGTCTGTTCTTAACAACCCCAGTAAGAGGGCCATCATAGAAAGATCCAACACTCGCTCCAGTTTAGGTGAGCTTCACATATATTTTGACTGAGCTATAGTCTGAAACTGTGAAGTTTAATTGTAAGTAGTGAGAATCATGCAAATGTCTAATGTCTGTCTTTGTCCCCTTAGCTGAGGTGCAAAGTGAGATTGAAAGGATCTTCGAGTTGGCCCGCTCCCTGCAGCTGGTGGTTCTGGATGCCGACACCATCAACCACCCTGCCCAGCTTCTCAAGACCTCCCTGGCCCCCATCATCGTCCATGTTAAAGTCTCCTCACCAAAGGTACTCGGATCATAGGCAGACCTTCAAAGAGGGAGATTTTTGTCGCACTAAGAAACATTTTTACTCTCTCTGATGGGTTTATTATCAATCAGGCCATGGGTTACAAGGTTATCAAGTCAAAGCTGGATAAAACAGGAAATTAAGCATATGTGATCTTCACAGTGACTGTCCAACAGAGTCATTCAGTTGGAGACAAACATCGAGAACAAAGGTAATGGTCTCTCTGTTAGACTCATGTTGTTTATCCACGGGTGTTACAGCTCATCACAAGCACAGTGTTACCTCAAAACTAGCATGAAGTCCTGTACTTTTAAAGCCTCTGATGAACACACGTGTGTGTGTGTTGGGGGGATATAAATCTGCACTTTGGCACTTTTGCATGGGAGAGTATGTCTTCTTCACCTCATCCCTCAGCACTGGGACTACAACAGTAACCACTTTGATCAACTGTCTGTCTTTAGGATTAAGTTTAATCAGACTGAGAATCTGCTGTTTACTGTTTGCACGTGTTTTACAAGACATCTTCCTAGCATGCTTTTCTACTGTTGACCAGTAAAACTGACCAGTGTACAGACAAACCAGGAAGAAGCAGCAATATTAGGCGTATAGCATCACTGCATTACTGAGGTCATGAGTCCTCCAACATGTTTGGACTGTTTATTTATTTCAACCAATAATTGTTACTTGTTTTCATCACATTTTGGTCATAAACGTTCTGGCTTAATGGTGATCATAAATAAATATTTTGAGGCAGTTTAACCCCATTGGATATAATATTTATTTGTAGATGTAAACATTATTAAAAATCCCAAATTCTCAGAAGAAGGTGCAGATGATATGAGCAGACAGTTCACCCAAAACTGAGATACTTTTGGTTTCTTTGTGTGCGTTTCTGCTCTTTCATCCAGGTTCTGCAGAGGCTAGTCAAGTCCAGAGGGAAGTCCCAGAGCAAACACCTGAACGTCCAGCTTGTGGCAGCAGACAAACTAGCCCAGTGTCCACCAGTAAGCCAACTTTCTCCTCCTGTGCTGGCTTGTGTGGCCCGTTGTTCTCATACTTTTACAGTTTCTGTATTTAAAAAGATGCCCATAAACTTTGTTTCTGCACTCCCAAACAAATGCATCTTAAGGTCAAACGAGAGTCAGGGAGATTTTTATGTCTTGGAGAGCAAAAACTGGAAGCACTTGTATTTATTGAAGCCGTTGATATGATGTTTATTATCATTAGTCCTTGTGCTAATGTACATTCATAGCTGAGCCTCACATACAGTGTAAGAGTGGACATAATGTATTTCACGTGTCCTCTGCTGCTAACAGGAAATGTTTGACATCATCCTGGATGAAAACCAGCTGGAGGACGCCTGTGAGCATCTCGCCGAGTATCTCGAGGCATACTGGAAAGCGACCCACACCTCGATGGCGACGCCCCTGAACCCCCTGCTGGGACGCAACCTGGGCCCCACCACACTCACACCCTACCCCACCAGCATCTCTGGACTGCAGGTACACATCCACCTGTACCAAAATGATTTTCTTTGACCTTGATGGGTGTGGTTCAGATAATAAAAGTAAAAAGAGTAAACCCAGCCTATTGCAAATCATTTTTATTCATTCTCCTCTTCATTCATGTTATTTCAAAAGAGTTATACCTTCCAAATTTGTAGCATTTGTTTTTTGAAATAAATTGTTGTCTAGTCACAACAGTTGGAGTTGTGGCATTTTGTTCTCTGGGAAATAACAGTTTGTCCATTAAATCTACACCAGAGTGTTGGCACTGTAGTATCCTGCGTAATCCAGCTGTTTTATTATCAGCTTAAAGAAAGATCCCTGATTTAATGTGTCAACAAAGAAACCATTGATGCTTCCCTCTGATAACCTTGCTGATATGGAGTGAGCTGTTCTTCGTGTGTCTTCAGTGAAGAACCATGAAATGTTAAATATTTTCAGTGGTGCCAGAGCCTAAATTTCTGTCACGCTCAAAAAAAAATACAGACGACTCTGCGTCAATGCAAAAGTCATGTACACATTTAATCCATGTATGTTGACTCAGTGTGGACAGTAAGGGACAAGGATAAGCATGTTTATCAAAACTTGCAAAAGTATTTTTACATTATACTTACTGTCATTGTCGCTGTGATCTTTCTTCTTCTCCCTGCGTCATCAGCAACTCAGCACAGTCCCACATATCAGAGAAAGTTAAACCTACACAAGTGTGTCGTTACATTAATACATTTGGTCAAACATTTTTGCTTTGCCATGTGTTTGCATGTTATTACTGTCATCTGTTTGCCTAACTGCGCAAATCCGACAGTGCATGTTTGATTCGACCTAAATTCTATCTCTGGCTCCTCCTCTTTTTGAACAGATTTTCACGATGTCCATGCTAAGCAAGTCATAATCCTATTTGCTGCAGGCAGTGAAATCTACACCCACTGATAACTCCCCATTAGAAATTGAAAGCAAACACGTGTGTGCATTTGTGTGGATACTGTGTTATTAGGTCTCTTCCATTCCCTCCTGAGCCTTATCTATGTCCTTGGTATGTTCGTGTGATTAGCAGAGCCAAAGAATGCGACAGAGTAACCACACAGGAGACCACTCGACCCCAAATGAACGTCGCAACCTGATGACATCAGATGAAAACTACCACAACGAGCGGGCACATAAGGGACGCAACCGCATGTCCTCTGGCTCCCAGCATAGCCGAGAGCAGCAGGACGCCTACCAGGACTACCAGGATCCCTATCAGGATGCATACAAGCCACATCGCAATCGCAGTTCACCGGGCAGCTATAGCCATGACTCCCGGCACCGGCTCTGAAAACACTCCTCTCGCCACAGTGGCCCACGCGGCCCAAAATTCCACCCAAAATAAACGCTGCAATAGAGCCAAGATGGTCCCAAATTGTACCTTTTTCCCCCCCCCTTTCTTTTTGATCTACTTGGCTATTTTTCCTCTTTCAAAGTAAAAAAGAATCACATTCAGGTATTTTCGTTTTAATCAAGCTGTCAGGGCAAACCCCCATCAGTCAACAGTGTGAGTAGTGAGGAGGTTCAGGCCAACATTAACAAAACTTGTAAAATTTCTTTAAGTTTCTGGGACCTTTTTGGGATTTTACTAACATAATGCTCAGCAGATGTGCAACACAGTGCTTGTTGCCGGTGTCAGCAGTCTAATTATGGATAGTAGTCAGATGGTGATGATGTACTGTATGGGCTTCTGAGTGCCTGAAGCGTCACACCAGGTCAGATGGAAGCCCTCTGCACACAAACTGCTGAAAGGCTGCTGCCCCCTATCCTGGGCCATGTATAAATCCTCTCTTCATTTAGCTTATTGCATGCTTGTAGTTGATCAAGCTCCGCATCCACTTCACTGATATTTTACTCTGGATTCTCCCATGATGAGGTGTAGATATGGAGGTCCAATTTTCACCTCGTTGTGGATAGGCGCTCGGTGGTGGGTTTGTGGGTTGGTTATGCAGATGATATCTGGCTGCTAGTTTTGAAAACTGGTGCTTCACATTCCCAAACTATTTTGCTATTTGAAAGTCACTTTGAGCAAGGCCAGCTTTTGTGTAGCATAGCTTCAGGATTTTATTTGGGTGAAGACCCTGACCGTCATAAGCAGAACAGACTCTGATGGTGCTGGGGATCAGACCTCTGTTACACTGTAGAGGAAGGCAATACTGCTGCTGTTCTAAACAGCTAGCACTTAGAGAGTTAGACAAGGCAATAGCCGAGACTGTGTGATATTGTAGTGGATTACAATAGCAAAATTCTACTTGAGATGCAGTTGATACTGTTGAAATATGGACTGGCATTAAAACCAATGCAGGAGGAGCCTCTTTAGCTGGCTGGGATGTTCTTTCTTGACATTTTTGCCCCTGCCAGCGTCTTGTTTTTCTTCTGTTTGTTTGCTTGTTTGATGTTCCATCTGCTGCTGAAGCTACAAATTATTTTGCATTTGTTAGCAGTAAAATCACAGTTACGTAGAGGTAAAACACACATATGGATGTCGGTTAGCATTAAGTCAAGTCACTGGTTAAACTCTGTCAAAGTTCCTTTTGTTGGCTTTAAGGGGTTGAAATGATATAAATGTTACACGGCAGGATTGGTTGCACCATGTTCGTTCCCTGTGTAGCTGGCATGTTTTCCTGACTGCAGAGCATGTTCCCTCCAAAGGTAAAAAAAAAAAAAAGCCCACTGTAATCAAGTTGGTGTTTGTACAAGTATGAGGCACGTTTCTCCAAAAATAGAAAAAAAAGAAAAGAAAATGTCCCAAACTGCAGACGAATGATATCTCTGGATCCTTGAGGGTAATCGCTCATTCAGTACACTGAAACGACACAAGCAAATATTTTGATAATTTAGAAAATGTTAAAGTGGCCTGCATGGTATAAAAGTGAAGCCATCTCACTGATAAGTTTCTGTTAGACCAGAAATATGTTATATATTAGAAAGTGCACTGAAACAACTGACACAGGCTGAACCCTCACAAAAAAAGGGCAGTTTGCCCACATGGTGCTTTGTATGGAGCATGAGAGCTGCTGTGTTTGCTAATGATGATCTTAAGTTTTGTTAACAGAATTTGCTGTACATATCCCATTCTTTTAAGAGATAGTATTATCTTGTGATTCTGACTTAATCATCTTACTATTTCGATATAATAAATGGTACCATTGGACCAACTTTAAGGTTTTCTATTAAAACAAAGTACTTTAAAAGGTATATTAGGTAACATTCAAGTGTCCTATTATAGTTTATGCAAATAAGAGAAAGTCATGAGGATAAAGTAAGGAATCACGTTGCGTGTTATCAGAAGATAATAAGATGAGTAAGTCGTCATGTTGACTAGAAAAACTGCTGGAACATTCTTTATTATCTTGGAAATTTGTGCTTCTTTCGATAAAAACTATTGTAAATTTGACAGTTTTTTGGCTTCCATATTTCTCCAGGACCAAAAACACAAAGAACAACCTAAATGCCTGTTTTTGCAGTGTACCTCACAACTTCCTGTATGTGATATGATACATACAGGAAGTGAGTGACACGGCTACATCACAAGGATTCAAATGTTTTCTTTCACTGTATGGAGGACCAAACGTGCCATGTAATTAAATACTAAATTTAAACCATGTTTACTGAGAAATGAATTAAAGCATTAAATATAAAGTATTTATTCCCCCAAGAAAATCAATCAATCAATCAATAACACTGAAAAACTGAGTAATAACAATCTACTGTAATAACACAGTACAGTTACTTTTAACTAGTTTGCTTTAAAAATCTATTTATTTTTTTAATAAGCTTAGTTTGGTCCCAATCATGGCAAAATCTGAGCTTGGCACACCTGGAGAAATGTGATTTTTAGGAAAATTACCATATGTACAGTAAGAATTAGAATGTGTGTCAAAAGAGTTTTCTTTGGCATGTTAAACAAATACATCTATTCTAAATGTTAGTTCCCTTATGACAAAAACGATGTACAGTACTGACTGCTGCAGCACCAAATTAGATTGGTGCCTTATAAATAGCAAATTACTATTATTGTTTTGTCCGAGATCTATACAGAGTGTTCTCATAAACGTTTAATAGGAAGTGGGAGCTGTTTTTAGGCTGATTTTTATTATATTTTTGTTAGTTAACCATGTTCAATTACGAATAAGTACAATTTGTTCACAAGATTTTTCAAATTTGATTCTGGTATGGTGTTCTTATAAATGACATCAGATGGTGATGTAGCTACAGCACAAATAAGGATAAGCATGCTGCAGCCACTAGGTGGCAGCATGAGCAGGCCTAATAAAGTCTGTGTTGAAGCTGTAAAAGAAAATTAGCACTGAAAATCTTTGGTTGCTTGTGAGGTGCAGAGTTGTCCAACATAGGACATTAGCTTTACTAAATCTTGATGATATGCACTTCAGCCGGTCAGGAGGAACTTCTTCAAACTGTAGCATCTTTATTCTTTATTTGAATATTCAAAATCTAGACATGAACCACGACCGATATTTAACAGTCCCCAACAGTTCTACAGCCTGAAACAGTTTTGAGCTGTTGGGAGGCTTGATTAGATCATTTGGGTTTTTTTTTTTTAGAAAAGGAGGCTGACGTGACATAATTTGACTTTCCCTGATTTTAAGCAGCTCTTATATATTGATTTAAATGTAAAAGAAGGTGCAGTGGATCACTTTGCATAGATCTGGATAAAAGTGCAGAAATAAATAATTTATGAAACAAATTGAATAGCACAAATGAGTAAGCAAAAACTACAGTGGTTATTGAGCAGCTGTTCCTACAATGTGAATCTGGGATAAAGGCACAGATTGTTTGTTTGCCTTGGTTTCCTGGTTATTTCCATGTTATCTAAATGGGAAAAGAGTGCATAAAACTACTGTTTACAAGCAGCTTATCTGTCTCATTGTGCCCCATAGCATAAAATCCATTGGTTGATTGAATAGCGAGACATTTACCATTCAAAATCAAACCAACCAATGCTGAGCTGGGCTGCTTGAGACAATCAGAAGGGATTTCCTGACCAGCGTCCCACCATTGCTCTCTTTATGAAGAGAAATGTAAGAATGAAATAATGCCACTTTCACTCACAGACCTCCAGACCTGCTTTTATTTGTTCCTTCTGACTTTATGTGTCAGCAAAAGTTTCTCTGCAAGCAAAATTCATCTTTGATTGATTTTTTTTTCTCTGACTAAATCTCCAGGTGACCACAAAACACAGGACGTGTAGAGAAGATTTTCTTTGGTATAATATAAAACACAAAAAAGAGCGAGAAAGTAAAAGAATAAACATTTATTCCAGTAGAAAAATAATACATGAATATTTGCTGTCAATTATTTTTATAAGAGATAAATGTACATAATGTCTTTGAGATGCGATTTGCTGTATACATGTGCTGAAATAAGACGAAGTCAACCCGTGTGGGACAACAGCAAGGTCCAGTATACAAAGTTTCAGTAATGTGCAATACAAGACGGCATGCTGTTTTAAAATGAGGAACTTCATGTACTGTACTATGCAACCGCAAACTGTGTACATCGCTTCATGCTGTGGCTTCTCCAAACACCCTTTTCCAAGCAGCTTCATCTGGACTTTTAGCGGATTTTTGTGTTTCTCTCTGTTTTTTTTTCTGTGGAAGAAGAAAATCTAAGCGGCTAATGCGGTATTGCATGCATAATAAACCACTCTAATTTATAAAAAGGAGTTCAAGAAAAATACATGGAACTGGAGGTGACTGTGTTTCAGCCAGAGCTTCAAGTGACTTAAAAATATTTCTTTTTCAAAATAAAAGAGTCGTTCTAAAGTCGTGTGCTTTAAATTCTTTAAGCAACGTTTCACACAAAAGATAAAAAAAACCCCCAAACATTATTTGTCATCCTGTTAGAAGTAGCAATCAGAAAATGAGTACACTGTACACTCCCTAATTTCCTTCGGGATTAATAAAGTATTCTGATTCTGATTTTGTAGTGCTGAAGGGATGGATGTGGTCAGCAACAGTACCCTGGTAGGTTGCAGCATTCAAATGAAGCTCAGTTGGTATCAAGGAGCCCAAAGTGTTGAAATTGTTTCACACCATTATACCAACAACAGTATGATACATTTTAGTCCATAGGTGTCAAACTCTGGCCCGCGGGCCATACCAAATTACTATTAGAGCTGGCCTACTGGTATTATACAGCTAATATATATATTGTTTAGTATTAAGCTTTGCTTGTTCCATATTCAGTTTTCCAGAAAAACTTATTTGTTTCCATAAGAAAAGATTCATTCTTAAATCTGGAGGAAGATTTTTTTTCCAATAAATATTAACGTTAGCCCGCGACTTTGTTCCAGTTTTGAATTTTGGCCCACTGTGTATTTGAGTTTGACACCCCTGTTTTAGTCCATATTCGTAGTTGATCCACACTTTCATGTCGTTTACACCTAAATCTGACCCTACTATCTGAATATCACTGCAAACATCAGGACCAATCAACATTTTTCCACTTTACTGTTTTTGTGTGTGAATAGGTGAATGAGCCGTGTTGTATAAATTGCTACGAGTGCTCAAGTACAGTAGAAAAAACCCCCAGTCCATTTACCTGAGCTGGATTGACTAGGTAATCTCTCATGAAAAAACTGAAAAACTGCAGATGAATTAAACTACATGCGAAAAGGTAATAGCACTTAAAAAAAACACAACCTTACAGGTATTGAAATTTTACAAAACATAGTTTTCGCAAATGTTAAGTAAATAGTTACAATGCTAATATTTTACCGCTATGTCTGTTTCACATTTTCATCACCTAATTATAACATCTAATCTTGCCTCTGGTATTTTATAAAGAGAAAATTAATAGAGAGTAGTGTTGAGTTTGGCTTACTGAGTTTATTCAGCCTCTACGGAAAATTAATCTCACACCATGATGCGTAGTTATACTACACTGAACAAAAATATAAATGCAACACTTTTGTTTTTGCTCCCATTTTTCATGAGCTGAAACATTTTCTACATACACAAAGGACCCATCAAATATTGTTCACAAATCTGTCTTAATCTGTGTTAGTGAGAACTTCTTGTTTGCCATGAACATCCATGCCACCTCACAGGTGTGGCTTGTCAAGGTGCTGATTAGACAGCATGAATATGGCACAGGTGTATGGGGTGCCGTTTGTAAAGTGAAACATGCTGAAATTAATGGCAACATTTTTCCACATCTAGCTCAAAACCTTACAAAAACATGTTTTTTCAAGTCATTTTTTACAATATTTAGTAAAATGTTTGTAACTTTTCAAATTTAACCACAATTTTACATGTTAAATCTAAATGTTAAATCTAAATAATATATTTAAATCTAAATCTAAATGTTAAATGTTAAATCTAAATGTTAAATGTTAAATCTAAATGTTACAGGAAACTAAATATTTAGCTAACATGCAAATTAATTGTACGGATCAACGGAAATGCCAAAATGAAAGCTTTACGAAAACCTCCGGTGCAAAAGTGTGCTGGTAGTAGTCAGATTGTGTCTGCTCTCCCCGGATGGTCACTTCTCACCGCCATGAGCGGCTTCACTTCTTGCCTACCAGCCCTTGCAGGTTTTCGTAAAGCTTTCATTTTGGTATTTCCGTTGATCCGTACAATTAATTTGCATGTTAGCTAAATATTTAGTTTCCTGTAACATTTAGATTTAACATTTAGATTTAAATATAATATTTAGATTTAACATTTAACATTTAGGTTTAACATTTAACATTTAGATTTAATATTTTACATTTAGATTTAAATATAATATTTAGGTTTAACATTTACATTTAGATTTCAATTTAATATTTAGATTTAACATTTAACATTTAGATTTAAATATAATATTTAGATTTAACATTTACATTTAGATTTAAATATAATATTTAGATTTAACATTTAACATTTAGATTTAACATTTAACATTTAGATTTAACATTTAAAATTGTGTTTTAAATATGAAAAATAACAAACATTTTACCCCATGCTGTAAAAAAATGAATCGAAAAAACAAACATGTTTTTGCAAAGTTTTGAGCTAAATGTGGAAAAATGTTGCCGTTAATTTCAGTATGTTTCATTTTACAAATGGCGCCCCATACAGGTGTGCCTTAGACCAGCGGTCCCCAACCCAGCGGTCCCTGAGTCGTTTGGTACCGGGCCGCGAGAGTTGAGGCTCAGGTGTGAAATGTATGGTTTTCAGGGTTTTTATCGGTTTTCAGCGTTATTGTGTTATCGTTTTTATCGTTAACTCGGTTTTCCTGGGTCTTTTCACGTGTGTTATGAATAAATTTTCTTTTTTTCGGTACCGGTACTAGTTTTATTTTGTTGTATTTATCCGTGACACCTTAAAGGCCGGTCCGTGAAAATAATGTATGTGGCACGGCCTCTCTGTGTGAGGATCTAAACGTATTCTACGCTAGATTCGACACAGCGAACACCATGAGACCGGACAGTGTGCTCACCGCGGATGACGTCAGTGCGCACACTGTGTCTGAGGAGGATGTGCGGAAGTGCTTCAGGAAGGTGAACGCACGCAAAGCTACTGGTCCGGACGGGATTCCCGGCCGCGTCCTCAGGTCATGCGCGGCTCAGCTGGCTGGAGTGTTCACGCACATCTTCAACCTTTCCCTCTCTCTGTCTGTAGTCCTAGCCTGCTTCAAAATGGCCACCGTCGTCCCTGTACCCAAATCCTCCACCATCTCCTCACTGAACGACTGGCGACCTGTAGCCCTGACCCCCATCATAAGCAAATGCTTCGAGAAGCTGGTCAGGGACTTCATCTGCTCTGCACTACCCGACTCACTGGACCCTCTACAGTTTGCATACCGCCACAACAGGTCCACTGATGATGCCATAGCCCTGACACTACACACTGCCCTGTCACACCTGGAGAAGAGAGACATGTATGTGAGAATGCTGTTTGTAGATTACAGCTCAGCATTCAATACCATCGTTCCCTCGAAGCTGGACAGGAAACTGCAGGATCTAGGACTAAGCAGCTCCCTCTGCAGCTGGATCCTTAGCTTCCTGTTTGACAGACGCCAAGTGGTCAGACTGGGCAGCATCACCTCATCCCCCGTCACACTGAACACTGGTGCTCCACAGGGGTGTGTACTGAGCCCTCTCCTGTACTCACTCTACACCTACGACTGCACGGCCACTGACAACTCCAACATCATTGTGAAGTTTGCGGACGACACTACAGTGGTGGGTCTTATCACCAACAGTGATGAGACAGCTTACAGGGAGGAGGTCAGCGCCCTGACCCACTGGTGTCAAGACAACCATCTCACCCTCAACGTCGCAAAGACAAAGGAGTTGATAGTGGACTTCCGGAGGAGCAGAGAAGTACACACCCCCATCACCATCAACGGCGCTGCTGTGGAGAGTGAGTAGCTTCCGGTTCCTTGGTGTACATCTGGCTGAGGATCTTACGTGGTCAGTACACACAAACAAAACAGTGAAGAAGGCGCAGCAGCGCCTCTTCTTTCTCAGGAGACTGAAAAGATTCGGCATGAGCCCCCGCATCCTCAGGACCTTCTATCACTGTGCCATTGAGAGCATCCTCACTGGATGCATCACCACCTGGTATGGCAACAGCACCGCCTACAACTGCAAAGCTCTCCAGCGAGTAGTGCGGTGCTCTGAACGGATAATTGGAGGTGAGCTTCCCTCCCTCCAAGACATCTACAGGAAGCGGTGCCTGAGGAAAGCGGGGAGGATCATCAAGGACTCCAGTCACCCCAGCCATAAACTGTTCAGACTGCTTCCATCAGGAAGGAGGTTCTGCAGCATCCGGTCCCGTACCAGCAGACTGAGAGACAGCTTTTTCCATCAGGCCATCAGACTGCTGAACACGTCATAGACACCTCAGCTTCACTACTGGAACTTTAACATTATGCACTCCATACTGTACAGTAACGCCACTGTTTGCACATGTCTCAACTCTGTATATTTTATTTTATATATTTTATTTATTGTTTATTTAATTTGTAAAATATGTGTACACACACACACACACACACACACACACACACACACACACACACACACACACGTAGAAAAATATTTAGTATACACATCCAGAAATGCATATACTATTATATATTGTACATATATTTATTAGTTTCAGATGTAGCCATTCTTGTATTTTGCTTGTTTACATTATTGTATTTTGCACAACTCTGTTGCTTGTGAAGCTCGCACACAAGAATTTCACTCACATGTGCTGTACCAATGTACCTGCACATGTGATGTGACAATAAAAGTGATTTGATTTGATTTGATAAACCGGTCCGTGGCGCAAAAAAGGTTGGGGACCGCTGCCTTAGACTGCCCACAATAAAAGGCCACTCTGAAATATGCAGTTTGATCACACAGCACAATGCTGCAGATGTCGCAAAACCAGTCAGTATCTGGTGTGACCACCATTTGCCTCACAAGGTGCAACACATCTAATGGAGATGTGTTGCACCTTGTGAGGTAAATGGTGTGCAATGGGCATAGAGTTGATCAGGTTGTTGATTGTGTGCTGTGGAACGTAGGTCCACTCCTCTTCAATACTTGTGCAAAGTTGCTGAATATTGGGAGGAACTGGAACACACTGTCATATACGCCGAGCGTCCCAAACATGCTCAATGGGTGACATGTCTGGTGAGTATGCTGGCCATGCAAGTATGGGATGTTTTCAGCTTCCAAGGAATTGTGTGCATATTCTTGCAATATGGGGCCATGCATTATCATGCTGTAACGTGAGGTTATGGTCATGGATAAATGGCACAACAATGGTCTCAAGGATCTCGACACGGTATCTCTGTGCATTCAAAATGCCAACAATAAAATGCACTCATGTTCATTGTCCATAACCCCATCACCACCATGGGCCACTATTTTCCATGGCTGTATAAGAACAAGCATCTAGCCATGCAGTCTGCCTGTGCAACATTCTGCTTACCCAGTCAGAAATACTGTCATTGCATCCATTCAAATATTATTTTAAATGTCATTTCTGTCAGTGTCAAACCTTTAAAACGGTATAATTGTTGATTGTAACAGAACTTAAGCATACGGGAAGTATGCTTAAGTTCTGTTCAGTTTGTTTCTCTCCTCACCCATGACAGGCTGTTCCTGCAGGTGAACTCCCAGGTGGAGATGTAGATTGGGCAGGTGTTACCTCTGGCTGCACACAAACATTTTACAGTTCTTGTTATTATTAAAATAGATACATAAACACATAAATCACTTAAAAGATACAACAGAGTAAATAAAAGCCTACATTCAGTGTTTCCCCCCATGATGTAGAGTGCCTTAAGCTTTTTTGGCAAGGAAGGGTCCAACTGCACTGTGACAGCCAGGTTAGTGAGGGGGGCAGTGGCTACGAGGATCACCTGAAGGCAGAAGACAGAGTTGTGTTGATAACTGGTGTGCTCTTGTTATTTATGACATAATTATAACATTATAACATATGCATCTTCTTTTTTTAAATAAAAATGTGTTGAGACAATTTTTCAGTCGGAGAAATTTGTGCTTTACTAAGATGAAAGTTTATATAGAATTTTTCGTGTGCATATGTAAAGAGGAAGCAAATGTACCATCAATGAAGGCAGCTTACTATTGGTCAGGTGATGTGATTTCATGTGTTAGAGTTCAATTAATTTGAACGCCACATCACCATTACACCATTTTAAGAAAATGGAAACGTCAAGGCACCTCTATTGACACAATGTTGTCACTGAACCAAGCCACAAAACATTTACAGAATATGAGTCTGATAGATGCATTTAGATAATAAAGCCATTCCACTTCCCCAGACAGGTTTGACAAAGCCATCTAACAGCAGATCCAAGCCTAGAGCATCTGGATCCGGGACATCCCCCAGCCCGTCTTTCCCATGGTAATCACCCGCATGCTGTTTGCGGGCCAGCAGAGGCTTTGAGCAGCCACGATACACTGGAATCTGTATTGTAGGTTGCATTTAATAGCAGGTCATCCAGCATGCAACCATGCAGTCAGATCTGTCACCATATCCATGTATAAGGCTCTCCCACACTCTGCTCAAAACTTACATCCAGCCTATTGCAGATTTTCAGGACACGCAGCGTGTTCTTGAGGACGTTCTCCAGGGGTGTATTGCCATGGCAGCAGGTGATCCCCAAAATCTCCACATCAGGGTTGGCGAGGGCCACCATGATGGCCATAGCGTCATCCACCCCAGTGTCCACATCAATGATGAGTTTCTTCTTCATCCTGTGTTTTTCTTTTCACATTGTCATAAGCTTTTACTTGTAGAACAACCTTATGTTTATAGTAATTCCAAAATATGAACATGAAAAACCAATGAAAGACTCCTTCAACGGGTTTTACGGCCAAGGCACGAGAATATACTTTAGATCCCTTTTACAGCTTTGCCTTTAGGCTAGTTTTCAGTGCTATAATGTATGCACTATTCAGTGTTCAGAATTGCATTCTAATGTTACCCTAAGTTGACCTGAAGTAACAATAAAATGTATAATGCTCACCTGGTGAATGGATTCTGACAGATGTTTACAGCTTACTGATATGAGCCACTGCAGCTGAATGCTGTGATCTGAAGAGTGGATAGAATTACTTAGAGAGAGGCTGCATTAGCTTTTGGCTAACTCTGCCCAGTGGGAGGTGGGAATTCCTTCATAACCTCTGCGGTGTAGAGCCCTTAAATTGTAATTCCGCCTCTCATGAGAAGGAAGAAAAAACTTGAAGATCATAATTGATGTATCTGTGCTTGCCAAGTATTTGGGAAGCCAATTACTCTCACTTTATAGAAACTTGTGTCTTGACTCTAGAATAATGTTTAACTCACCGACTGTAAGATACTCAGGTCCTGTGGCTGCAAAATAAGCGAAGGTCATTACCCCTCTATCACCATTCTTGACTGTTGACATGAGTTATTTGTGCTGATATGTTTGGATTGTTTTTTATTTGACTCTGTGCATAATGGCCAAACGTCTCCAATCTGGTTCCATCTGTGCAGAGCACATTGTTCAAGAAGAAACGTAAGCTATGCTGCCATGCTCTTTTTAGAGAAAAGTTTTTTTTTCTCGTAATCCTTCTATAAAAGACAATTGTTTGGTTGTTTTCTAATTATACTGTCATGAAGTTTAACATTCAACATACTAACTGAGGCCTGTAGAATCTGAGATGTAGCTCCTGGCGCTTAACAGTGTTTTTGAGGATTGCACAGTTTGACCAAAATCTTTTACATCTTGTGAGACAGGTTTGGGCTTGGTGACGCTAGCCCTGACCCGAGCCTAATTCACAGCATTCAGGAGGTCTATGGAGTTAAGAGCAACAATGTTAGCAGCAGCTAACATCTGCTTCTGGCACTCCTCTTTTAGTGATATTATGGAGTTCTGCTGGGCCAGTCACATCTTATTGATCAGCTCTGCTAAATCCCTGATGAGTGGTCTCTTTGTGCCCTCAATCTAAGATGGAGAGGAAAGAAGATCAGATCATGTGAAGCAAACTGAACAAATTATGAAGAGTGAAAAGGTGATCAAGTATGTTTATATATGGTGAAATTATATCCAAGCCCTTTTATAAAAAACTTTATATATGAAGTTTCTTATAATACTAATGAGGTCGATATTTAGATATAGAGCGATTAAAAGAAATAAAAGAAACACTTTGAAAACACGTCAGATTTCATTGGCCAAAGGTAATCCAGGACCGCACATGTGCTGCCCAGGTGGGGAGGTAGGTGGGAATGGTTGAATTTGGCGCCTCTACCCCCCACTCATCTCTCCTTAACCAGACTCACCAGAGAATTGGTTTTAGCTTCTTTCCACGCTTTAAGAAGGTTAAGGTGATATATTTGGGTGGCTCCTCCCCTGTCCGACCGTACCACTTCATAGTCTACGTCCCCCACTCACCCTGTGACCATGAAGGGTTCTTGCCACTTTGCAAGTAACTTTGCGCTGAAAAAAAGTTAGCAATACAAGCATCTTCCGGTGAAAATTGTCTATGAATAGCACCTCTGTTGTGCTGCTGTCATTCCTGGGCCTGGAGCAAATTCTCTCGTGATTACCTCCCCAACATGTGCAGCTTTGCTGTCAGGCCCAGAACCTATTGAATCTAATTATTAGGTGGGCTCAGACCTTCCTCCCAGTTTTCTTTATTCAAGTCCAACAAGCCTCGTGGCTTCCTGTTGAACAACAACTCAAAGTGAGAAAATTCCGTGGAGGCATGGGGCACCTCCTACACTGCAAACAACAGAGGGTCTAACCAGAGATCCCAATTGTGTTCATCCTCATGAGTGGAGGACTGGACTTTAAAGTCTTATTCAGCCGCTCCACCAATCCATCAATCTCAAGGTGGTAGATGCTGGTCTGAACAGATTAATGCCCAGTAATTTGTATAGCTCTTTCAGTGTGTGGGACATGAATAAAGTTCTCCGGTCAGTCAGTATATCTTTCAGGATGCCGATGTGGGAGATGACCTGAAAAGTGCCTGCGCCGCACTCTTTGCAGAAATGGTGCGCAGCAGCACTGCCTCTGGATATCCGCATAATATGCCGCATAATCGACTAGAACAAATACAAAGTGAAATCCTTGTGCACTCTGATAAAATGGCCCGATAAGGTCCATGTCAGTGAACTCAAACGGGACCTCCATTAACAGCAATAGGCATAAAGGCACTTTTGGAATGGCTGGCTGGTTCAACAGCTGACACCACAGACACATAAGCCCACATGCTTGGCCATGAAAACTGGACCATTATTCACCGTGGGGTTATAGTGAGCGACCTGGAAAATCAATTCCCAGCAGCTTTTAGGCACCAGCAACTTGGTGTGCTCTTTTTCAAAGAGAAAAAAATCAGTTTTTATTTCTTGTTATGAACCAAACTCACGCATTCAGCATGCATAGAAACATTCTATTTGAGTGCATTGGTCAACATTTTCTTTAACTTTTCCAAGTCAACTTTCTTCATGATGATGGCCTTATGGTCTTTCTTCAGCTTCTGGATGTAGTCCACCACCATCATGCCTCGGGTGTAGGTCCCCTCTAACTCCACTGCCACCGCAACCTGAAGGAGAAACACAAGAAACTGTTAAACAATACTTGAAATTTTACTTAACCTGATAAAAATCAGGAGTTGCTTACCTCTTCGCTCTCAGTTATCAATGTATCATCGATGGCAGCAGCTAAGGCATAGACGTCACAGGAATTGAAACCAGTTCCTGCAGTAATCTCCTTCTGATAGTCAGCTGATTGGGCTTTCTGTCAAATCAGTACATCAGAGGTATTTAGACATTTTGTGATTATCAGTGTAGGGACTAGGGATGGGTATCGAAACCCGGTTCTTGTTGAGAACCGGTTCAAACTGTTTCAATTCCTTGGAATTGTTTGCCATTTTTGCAAACGATTCCCTTATCGATTCCAGTCGCCCCGAATGACGTCACCACGTTGCGGAGCGTCATTTACCTGGCAGAAAACATGGCGCCTAAGCGGCTCAAACGCTCAAAAGTTTGGTCATACTTTACGAGAACGGATGACAACAGGGCAACTTGCAATACTTGTAAAGTAGAATTTCATTTAAGGGAGGAAACACTACGAATATGCAAAAGCATTTGCTCACAAAACACGCGATGACCTTAAATGAATGTCGTGTTTTTAATTCCGCTCCGGACTCGTGAATCTCAACCCAGCAGCAGCGGTAATGTTTCCACGTCCTCTCCCGTTAATGCGGCAGGTAAATAATCAACTAACAGTGCATATTATGTTAGCGCGATCTGCCTTATTACAAAACCTGCCATTACTGTGGTGGCTCAGATGCTGGCAGTTCTCACTGCAGTCTACCGGTAGCGTCTCCTTTCAGGCCAGGATAGACGAATGTCACCGAGCAGTGACTAAGTTTGTGGTAAAAGGCTTGCACCCATTTGCCACAGCAGATGCCCCCGATTTTCGGTAAGTGAATGTGTTTAATTGTAGGCAGGAACATTACTGGGAATTCTTGTGTAATTGCTACAGAATAATTTGTTATACTTTGTTATTGCTACAGAAGAATATTTATTTTATTATTTTACATTTACAATTTTTTTTCCTGGGGACCCTGTGACACCCCATGGAAGAGCCATAGGCTGTGGATCTCTTAAGATCTCACTGTTGGGTTTGTAAGGCCATGTTACTCCTAAATTTCTATCTTGTTCAAAGAGAAGATATAAAACAAAGTTCTAAGCTAATCGACCTTAGTGTTTTCCTTTTTTTAAAAATAAGAATCGATTAGAGAATCGATAAAGAATCAAATCGTTAAACAGAATTGAAAATGGAATCGGAATGGTGAAAATCTTATCAACACCCATCCCTAGTAGGGACTAACACGTTATTAAGTAACGCGTTACAGTAACTACGTTATTATTGTGGTAACGAGCACGGTAACTAGTTATTATGCCAAAATCAGGAACGCGTTAATCGTTACTGGGATTTAGATAGGGTCGTTATTCGTTACTTCTTGCGGTGGCTATCGTGGAGCTTCAACAGATTCAGTAACATTAGCAAGTGGTGGAGGCCAGCAGGTGGTTGAGGGAAAGGGGAGGCAAGAGGAGCAGAGACCCGAGGTGGCCGCCGGTCCGAGTGTCAGGTGAAATGACCTTCAGGTAAGAAGTTATGACCTGCAGTCTATCTGGGTCAGATATAAACCAAGTTAAGGTGGAGTTTATTTTAGTTATGCTGACTTTTTTGTACTGGGTACTAGCTAGCATGACGGAGTTTCTATACAGCTGGGGGGTGCTATGATGTTGATGTTGAACTTTATTTTGTTCATAAGGTTAATTATTAGAGTTTCCACCCGTCCCTAGTAGGCTAGAATCATGGCGGCGGTCAACGACGGTCCAGGCGTGGGATTTCTCTCGTGGAAATATGCACATTATTTTTTCCTTTCTATTGGTACGTGGCACAGTGCACTTGTGGCAAGTAAGCAAGCTAGAGGACTGACAATCTTGCTGGGTATCCAGTTACGGAAGCAACACATTAACAAGAGAATTCTGAGTAAAACCAAAGTTACTTTCCCTAGTAACTAGTTACTTTGAAAGTAACGAGTAACTTGAAGTAACTGAGTTACTTTTGAACTAGTAATGTAACTAAGTTACTAATTTAAAGTAACTTACCCAACACTGGTGATTATCTGTAAGCCAGTGGAGGACCAAGGTCTAAACAAAAAAAGTTGCCACTAGAGGGCTTCATCCAACACCTGTAGACTCCTCTTTTCACACTCTGTGGTTACCCTTGTATAGTTGAGAGACCTTGGGGAGTATAATGCAAAACCTTTGGTCTTGTTAGCTTATTAACACCATTTAAATGTCAGTTTAGAATTTGGAAGTGGACGTCCTGGCACGTCAATCTGGCTATGTGCCACAAGCCAGTAGAGTAACCCAGATTTCTTGGAGTCACTGGTTGGGTTGAAGAGTGTTACATCTAGGGACTTAATTGCTCTGCTGGGGGATTTAACCACTTATTTGGAGAGCAGTGTGACCTGGATGGGTGGAAGGCTGTACCAGCCAGGAGTGCATGGAAGATAAAAATTGAATGAGAATTTTGGTCAGGTTCAAAGCGAACCATCAGACA